ACGCCTCGTTAGCCACGGTTATGGCTTGGTGGAGTCCCTCCAACGCTCGGTTGATGTCCTCCACGGTGTCATGCGGTGGGTTGTCGATGATGTGCCTGTCTACCACGCGTCCAAACTGGGCCCAGTTTACGCGATGGTAGTCCTTGCGCAGGCTTGAAGCAGGAGCCACGTTGCAGCAAAGTTCAGCCACCACCGGCTGGTGGTCGGAGCTGAGTTCGTTCCAGGCTGGCTACCGGCTTGGACAAGCCGATATTTGTCAGGAACAGGTCTAGCGTCGATGGGTTGCCCGCCAGTGAGATGAATGTTGGTTCATCCGAAAATCAAACGGAGTACAGCCCATGCTGTGAGTGGTCGAACAGGAGACGCCCGTCATGTGGTCAGGCAACCAGAAGCTGTCGCCGGACTTTAGATGGGTCTCGGTTAGAAGGCCCACGTCGATGCTGTGCTTGCGGAGGAAGTCGGCAAGCGCAATCTTTTTTGCTCTAACAGAGCAAGCATCCCAGGTGACGATAGTTAGCGGTTTAGACGCCATACTGGATGATGAACTTACCGAGCACTTGGATCTGTTCGGGCTTATTGTGGCACTTACGAAGAGCACCGGACATGTTGACGAAAATTTTCATCAGTTCATCCGCTGAGAACAGATCGGGGTGTTGTTTTGCGCTCTTGGTTGTCTTCAGAATCCAGGGGGGGGGGGGGGGATGGAGAGCTTTGGCCAGCAGAATCACCGGAAGTTGCTTGAGTGGGATGCACCCGCGAATTCGCTTGCCTTTGTTGAGGAGCACGAAGAGGCGGGAAATCCTTCGTCCGGAATGCCGGGACTTTGTCCTTTTTGTGCCCTGGTTGGTTGTTAGTTGCCACCTGTTTTCGGATGCGTTTGAAGTCCTTGCGTTTGGAGCACTGTCTGTCAGAACCTTGATGTGCACCACCACAGTTGGCGCATTTTAACGCCACGGATCCATCCGCAGGGCAGTTGGAAGTGGCGTGTTCTTGAGCGCAGTTGCTGCAGCGTGGCTTGATGTTGCAGTTTCGGGTACCGTGTCCAAAATTGAGGTACCGCTGGCACTGCGTTACGTCACGATGGCCGCCACGGTATGGCTCCCATCGTATGATGATGGAGTAGATCGATCGGATGGCTTGCAGCGCATTGAGAGTCACCGTCCCTTTCTGGAAGTGCACCAGGAAGAGACAATCCGGGTACGTCTTCACGTTTTAGTCTCTCCTTGTCATTCGGAAGACAGCGATTGGGGCTAGCTTGTACCGGTTGATTTCAGCTTCGACCATTTTGGGGTCGAAGTTTGGTAAACCCCTGATGACTACCTTGAAGGGCTTCTCACCGGGGATGTCGTGCATGAAGAATTCCGCCTTGGAATCCTTCAGATATTTCACGGCCACTTCGAACTCCGCTTTTGTTCGCAGCATCACCTTGGTGCCGATCCTGCCGAGCTTAATTTCAGCTGTAACGCCCAGCGATGAAAGATCGCCAATCAGCGTGTTGAGTGGTATTTGCTTCACCACCAGTGGAGGAAGCTTGACTTTCGCCGCACTCGGGCCGGCAGAATTCTCGGTTTCGACGGCGTCGCCGAAATCACCGATGTCGCTGGCGTTCGTCGCGGTAACATCGTCGCGTCCGCTCGTACCATCGGACTGTCCTTGGTTCTTCTTCCTCTTTTTCGTCCACTTCACCGGGACTGGGTTGATATTCCCAACATCGGTGGGAAGAGTAGCGTACCTATTCGAGGTAGGTACCGAGCTACCCTCACCACTGTTTTTCTTCTCCGCTTGGTCACGAGGTCTGCTCCGGGAGCGCTGTCTTCCCATCACGCGATGCGACCACGACGCGACATGCAGTATATCTGCGAACGTTTGTAACGAACTATAGGTTAATCGAACAACTCGACAGAGCGAGCAAAGACCGAACTGTACTGCTTGACGTTCAAGCAGAGAATGGACCATTAGGTTGCGAGACGGCTGCCATATACTTGTAACTAGGAACACTCTGACGAAAAATAGTCCAAAAGGGAGGGGCCTAATTAGCTATTTTGCAAGTATAATTTCTTCTATTCTGTGGAGACAGTCGTCACAACTTATTTGAAAGAGCCAGACAATGGACGCTTACATCAGAAAGAGAAGCATTACCAACGGCAATGACATCATTCGAACCATACACAGCTGAGTTTGACTACAATGATCACCTGTGTAATGCTGCTGTCAGAAAAGCCAACTAAGCACACTGTCTCTGGAGATACTCAAGTACACCAGTTTGTTCGCTTCGATCCAAAATGGCAGTTTCATTTGCGACGGAGATGGTCACCACAAATTTGGTAGGACCCTGAAGGACGCGGACCTCGGAGACTCTCTGAGTAACTTCACCATCTTTCGGACGTTCCACTGCAGTCGTTCCGTTAGGCTGACTACAACAGTGATCATCTGCAAAATTTCAACCGCTGTGAAATGGTGTAAGCACGCCATCCCGAAAGAACCAGCATGTAAATCTCTTGGACCCTTTCTCAGCAAAGGTGTCTACACATAACTTTTAGATCTTTATATGGCGCAAATTTTTGCTGCACAGAGCTTGTCGATATCTTTCGCCGATCAAGAGTCCGTCATCAGGTGTAGCAACATAATCAGAATTGTTGTTCCAATTTCATAATTCAATATTCCGAAGCAATCAAACTTTAAAAAATCATTCGTCGTCACAGTCCACTTTCCTTAAATATTGATTGAACACGCTCAAATTACAGGATTCTGAGTTTTTGAATTACTGGAAAATTCGGGAAAATTCAAATGACCGTTATCCGTAATGAAATGGACAAATGTTATGTTCTTTCACTAAATGGGGTTACCAGAACTAAGGCTTGTACTCGAAAAAAATGCACCATTTTTATCCGTGTGTAACTTTTTTATCCGTGGGTAAAAATTGATGAAAATCTGGGTATAACTAGTTTGGAGTGAATTGTTTACATGTGCAAAATTTCATAACAATTGGTTCAGTGGTTATTGAGATGTCATCGAAACAAGAAGAAAATCGCCGGGGAATTTTGCGCGCCGTCATGGAAAATCCGACTGCGACCATGAGATGGATCGGAAGACAACTGGGAATCACCCATACAACTGTGTCTCGGGTGGTAAAATCGTTTAAAGAGTTCCAGATGACCGAGCGGCGGGCTGGAAGTGGAAGAAAATCGAAGACAGCTGACCCTGTGAAGGCTCGGAAGGTGTTGGATTATTTCAAGCATAATCCGAACCTTTCGATTCGCGACGCGGCTCTGAAGGCAAAGTGTTCCGCCTGGTTCGTTAAGAAAACCATGAAACGAGCTGGGCTTCGTGTATTCAAGGTCCGGAAGGCACCGAACCGGCGTGATCAACGAAACACGGCCGCGCAAGGAAGCTGTATCGAGAGTGGTTAACGAAACCGATGTGTGTAGTTATGGATGACGAAACCTACATCAAGGCAGACGCAAAGCAGATACCGGGGATGGAGTTCTACGTTGCCAAATCACGGTTTGATGTTCCGGAAGACATAGGGAAGAAGAAAGTGGACAAATTCGCCAAAAAATACTTGCTCTGGCAGGCATATGCCAATGCGGTAAACTGAGTAAACCGTACATCACAATGGGTACCATCAACAGCGAAATTTACCGCACCGAGTGCCTCCAGAAGCGTCTGTTGCCCTTCTTGCGGTCCCACGGAGGCGAGAGATTATTTTGGCCGGACCTGGCATCATGCCATTACGCGCGATCGACGTTGGATTTGTACAGAGACAATAACGTTGTTTTTGTACCAAAAACCGCCAACCCCCAAATTCACCAGAGATTCGTCCGGTGGAAAGATTTTGGGCCATAATGAAGGCCAAAGTTCGAAAATCGTCCAAGGTGCTGGAGTTGAAGAAAGAATGGATGAAAGTGACCAAAAAGGTCGGCTCCACCATTACACAAAGTGTAATGAGGGGTCTTAAGGGATACGTGCGGTTCAGCGATGGAAAGGAAATTGAATAAAGTAATTATGCCGAAACATAATCCATATGTATTAGTTAGTATTAGTTTCAAGAAAATCGGACTTAAAATAAATTTTTGGCGAACAGTTTTGTCTGGTGCATTTTTTCGAGTGCAGGTTCAAGATTGCAATAAATTTCAAATTTTTTATTTTTCCACAGATTTCTAAACCTTTACCGAACAATTCTGCAAATCAAAAACCAAGCAAAACCTTACTGACTCTATTAGTGTGAATGTATTGTATAACATGCGATCGATTATTAATTTACTACGGGTACAGTGTTGTAAGTACCATGATACTATGGATTGAGAGTTGCTTGAAATTTAAAAACCTATTCGAGAGAACGACCATCCAGGTGAAACACAGATAAGACGCTGAACCTCGGAATATAAACCCATTTTAGCTAGATGAAACATTTTTTCCACGTGCACTCCCATTTCCGTGCTACCTGTGGCATAGAGATACCAAAATGTGCATATGAAGCATAAACGAAGCAGAATGGAATGGGATGAAATATTTGACATTTATTCGATTTAAACTTTCCTCGATACTTTCTGTACCGTCAGAGACATGGGATCCCAATTGATTTTCATTGTTTGACAGAATATTTGATGCGATTAACGCTTTTATGTTTTGACGAGGGAACACCACGTCACAATTTTGAGTTACTTTTTCTCTTTTCAGTTTGTTCTATATCAACGTCAACAGCAAAGCAAGCACCGAATTCACCGTTGAACGCAAAACTGTCCTTGAATCGCAAAGCACCCCCTTAGTGTATATTCCGATGTGCTTCATAAATAACTGTCTATTTATTGGAAACAACCCTCCCCCCGTTAATGTTAAGATATTGATAGAAATTTTAAATCCCCCAGTCAGTGCAAGGGTTCCCCCAATTCCAACATCACTACTTAACTGAATTTCGCACCCGAATCAAACCTCCATCCCCTATTTTGTATTTCGATTGAATCAGTCATTAAAGCAACTGTTTGTAAACTCACACCCAGGAAGACAATGGCCACGTGGTAAGTCAAGTCGAGCAAACATCCGGTATGTGAGTTGCAATTAGCGCAAAGTGCCTGATCGCCAGTGCAGTTGAGTCAAGCTGAAGTTGATGAGCAAAATAATGCCCGCCGTATTGCGCACTTCCACATCGCTCATTCGTATGATTTGTGTACCTTCCATATTTGCTGCGCGACACGCGAAACTCAATCTCCACCCCAAGCATCCGGAATTTATCATTTGAGCCAAAAACCCGAAAATTGTATGATTGCATCACATCGCGTGCTATTTTGGTACCGTAGAAAATTTGCGTTGTTTGTAGCGTTGGCCTTAGAGTTAAGATTTTCCGATTGTAAATAGATTTGTTTTATTTTCAGCTACCTACCATCATCGTCGGGTGGGGGGGAAATTGTGGGCTTTCTTCGTTGCTGCTATTTTTGGTAACAGAAAAATCAGAACTCAACAACACCCGGAAAATCCCTCGAGGGTCCTTTTGGTTTGCTGCAATCGGTCATACGGGGGTGTTGTTGCTGTTGTGTGATTGCAACCATCAGAGCTATAAATGGACTTTTGATTTTCTTCGATTATCGATCTGAACAGTAGTGGGAGCGAAGGTGGAGGAACCGGAAACGGGTGGGGTTTGCTTCAGGCAGAATTTTGAACATGGACATAGTCCTCCCAGCGTGCAAATATGAAGGCATCATTGAACTGCATGGGTATTTGCCCAGTGGATAGGTCCGTTAGGGTTCTCTGTGTGTAAATATTTGTTTAAAATTAATGCATTTGTTCCTGGCAAAGCGTGCATCGATGCATGTTGGAACAAGTCCATTAGATCTGCTAATGAGTGGTTTTATCAAATTTCTAATACTTGTCGAAGCATCAAACGAGCGAAACACTGCATTCAACAACTGGAAGCAATCAAACAAATGGAGAGACGGGTTTGGTGGTGAGATCCACACCACTCATATGCACACTCACACACACACCCCGGTTACCTCACCAAGAACACACTGGATATTGATTTTCTAATTCACATTCGCTCTGGTATGAAATTCGACTAATTGGAAATTGAATGCCAATATCTACATACCTACCTACGTACGTAACAGTCAGTAGTGGGAAAAGGCAACATGTTTGATGCCTAGAGCAGGATCAGCAACAGCATGTAGAGTAGAAGAGCCCTCTGTCGCACACATTCCTCCTCCCACAGGGCGCTCCATTCACGTCAATTTGTACGGCAATGTCGAGAACTATATAGGCATTGGTACCGACAATTGGATCCTGAAATCAGTGACAGGGCGGAGCAGAAGGGATTCCCGTTCTTCGTACATTGATGCATGAAACAAACGCTTAGGGCCAGATACAGGAGGTTGACCAAATTGCTTTTTAGCACTGAATTTGTGTGCCCACAAATCACTGCTGATCACCGTTGAAGCGGGTTAGTGCATTCGTGCGGCTCAGGAAAAATTTACATGTGGTTTTTACAGGGTCTGCATCCTCACCCCGACCTGGAAGAGATTGATGAATGTTTAATTGGATTGCCATTTTCGAATCTCCACTACACTGCAACGACACCATGTGGTAGTAATCCGATCATTTGCATCATTTGATGTATGACGGTTCCTCCCAACTTACGCTCGCTCAGGGAAAGTGCCGTTCAATTGTAGAGCACCTGTATTTGGACAACTCGAGGCAAGGGATTACGAAGAAAACAGTGAGAAGCCTACGAATGGTTGTCAACCATTGTAATTAGCACACGCACAATAGTACCATGGTTTTGTGTCACCATAATTCTGAACAGCACAACGAGAGGGATTCCGGGAAGTAGCGGTAAAGAAAAAGCAACTACAATATTATTGTTTCTAATGAATGAGCTCTGTGCGCTGAGTGTTGTTCGCATGGAGAAGGACATTGGCGTAGCTAATTGGGGTGCCAGGGGGGCCAAACCCCCTCCAGAATTATCTAGCCTCTCCTCCAGAATTATCTAGGCCCCCTCCAGATAAATTGTCAAGCTACGCCAATGGAGAAGGAGCTTGTCAATGGTTGCAATTAAACATGCTACTGCGTCCCGGTGTGTTTGCTAATCCTGAATTATAAAGCGTCGACGCTGTTGCTTGCTAAAGAAACAACGGGGAATAATTATGTAACCGGGAACTTGAGGTTGTCAGCACAGTCGAAGATGTGAAATATTCAACCGATTATCAGTTTGTTGAATAAGTTACATGGCATTCTTGAGTAGAATCTTCTGCGTTTATCGCAGATGGTGGAATTTGAGTATTAAATAATCTGATAAATTGGGTTCTGGTCTTCATTAACATTCTCGAACGATTCTCTTCAGATTTTTGAATTCCAGATATTTCCGCAGTTGCGGGAGTTTGAAAAGCGCTCTCATCAGACTGAGTCAATTTTTGAGCAATCGATGTTCTTGGAACTGCAAAAAGATTAGGATAAAGTACTTTGAGTACGGAATGTTCTGAGATCGGTAGGAGTTCCTAGGAACTGTAGAGCTCCAGAAGTTGGGAAAGTGTTGATTATTCTTAGCGATCAAAATGTCCTAACAGATCAAAGGTTTGCTACAGATACAGAAGCATCTGGAGTCCAGTGAGTGCGTACACTACCTATACATTAGACTGATGCAAAATTTGAAATTTTCGCTCCACAGGGCTCAAACGGTTCCAAATTGGGTCCTGCTTAGCCTCCCAAAATTTAAACTACTTTAGTAAAAAACTGACTTGGCACAAACCATTTCAAGTTTACATGGGAATTACTATGGCAAAAATTATGTTTTTGTTCATATCTATCTAACAATTCACCACATCACTGTGCTTTTAAAAATCATAGCAATGAGTGTAGAAAATTTTCTCAGCTACAACTTTGTTAAAAACCACTTTTTAATCAAATGCACGGAACAAAAGTTATTAATGATTCAAGTCACTGATGTATTTGCTCATTCTACTGTTCAGCAGGCAACATTGGTGTTTTTGGTGAGAAGAATAGAGCACAAATATCATGGCTACTATGTCACACTGCAGAATACAGTGTTGCTAACAGAACAGCTGCTTGATCATGCCATAAGATTATCAATCTCTTAAACAATTAATAACTATTTCATTTAACATTTGGCTGAAAAACGATGTTCCGGAAAGTTGTAGCTAAGAAAAATTACCGTAAGAATAGTAATAGAACTTTTCGAAAAAGTAATATGGAAAATGGGCAGAAGACAATGAACAAAAAGTTTGGTTTCCCATAGTAATTTCCATATAAACTTCGAATGATTTGTGCCAAGTCAGTTTCTTACCAAATGAGTTTAAATTTTGGAAAGCTAATCAGGACCTGATTTGAAGCCATTTGAGCACTGTGGAGTGAAAATTTCAAATTTTGCATCAGTCTAGCGAACAGCCTTCAGGGAGACCAACACTACCACTATTCGCATAATATTCGAAATCGTTTACACAGGGCTAGGAAGCTTTATGAGCTGAGTCCGTTGCTTCAAGAGCGAATACAATGCTTCTTCATCGCACCGAAGCAAGTTTGAAACAAGACCCAAAATCATTGTGAGCATATGTGAAGAATCGGAAACGGTATCAGAGGTATCAGGGAGACACAGCCGAATCACCTTCGGACTCTGCAAATATGTTCTCTGCGTTCTTTCGGAGTGTGCCGACCACCTCCGTCTGAATCGTACTTGAACAATTTGCCGCGCTACGACTTGAACATGACAGTTTCCAACTTCTCTCGACAATATGTTCTCGCCAAACTCGAGTCCATAGACGCCTCCAAAGGAGCAAGTCCAGATCGTGTTTACCCCTATCTTGATTAGACGATATGTGCGGCGTTAGTTGCTTTGCCTGTGAGCAGTGTTGACAAAATCATCAATCAAATAATATTTTTCCGCTCTCATACGCTCTCAATATCACGCGTGATATTGGAACAAAATATCATGCTTGATAATGATTTTACAAGCTCCTTTGATATTGCGAGAGTATTCACAACGCGCAAAAATCAAGCTGAGAGCTGACTCGACACAAACATGATTCCGTTTCACATCGTTTTCTTAGAAAGAGAAAGTATAGTTTGCTATCTCTTTTTAATCTTCACCGATGGCAGACACGAAGGGACTGCTGCCAGCCGTGATGGAAGTTTCGGTTCCATTCGTGTGCAAAGCAAAAATCATTAAACTCAATCTCACCACAGTTTGGTGAGATTTGCAGTTAGTGAGTTTTGTTAGCTTGATATTCCGAGCTGCAATGTCACAGCTTGCAAAATCAACCGCAGATGTTGGCTTGTTGATTTTTGTCTAAGAGAAGAGGTGACAATACGGGAGCGAAAATGAACTACTTTTCTGTCAAACGTGTACCAGCTCCTGATTGGCCGAGTTCATGTGCGTAAGGTAGAGATAGACTTGGCGTTTTTATTGGTACTGACTTAGGCAAAACATATCACCAAAAAACTACAATATGTGTGTATCTAATCGAGAAGCGTTACAATTCAGTATCAATAGCTTTCCCGTGTAGACATCCAAGAGAGACAACCGAAAGCAAGAGAAGTTATGCTACACGGGGGGCGCTCGGAAGGAACGCATCTGAAGGTTTTTTGTAATGTACCTAACATGCCGGCCACCTAAATTCTGTTAAGGGATTTATGAATTCAAAAATCTTAACTAAGCTGCTTAAGATTAAGATGCTGGAAGTTTCACAATATGATACTGTATTCTTCTGAGGAACTACGTTGCGCTTTCCGGGCTTGCAGCGTTTACATCCTTCGGGGTTGCACCTGACGGTTGAGAATAGCAGGTGCTGGTGGGCTTCCCAGTCAAGGCCTTCTCGAATGGCAGCAAACAGATACGTGACGCCTGTCGTTTATAGATGGCGCCGTTCGGTGTGCGTACCTTCACTACCCTGATTACACTGTCGGGACCGGGATAGACTTCAATGATTCGAGCTAGAGGCCACTCGATGGCTGCGGATCCATCCTCCTTCAGGACCACCATTTGACCCACCTTCAGCAGGGTTGCTTGAGGGAA